CACACACACACACACACACACACACACACATACACACACAATTTCTTTTTTAATTATAAGAAAATAAAAGAGCCAAGCCAGGCATGGTGGCACATGCCTGTAATCCCAGCACTCAGGGAGGCAGAGGCAGCAGATCTCTGTGAAGTCAAGACCAGCCTGGTCTATAGAGCGAGTCCAGGACAGCCAGGGCTACACAGAGGAACCCTGTCTCAGAAAACAGATGGTGGGGGGCAGTGGTGGTGCACGCCTTTGATCACAGAGCTCAGGAGGCAGAGGCAGATGGGTCTCTGTGAACTCGAGGGTAGCCTGGTCCGCCTAGCCAGTTCCAGGACAGTCATGGCTACACAAAGAGCCCCGTCTCACAAAACCAAAATAAATAAAAGAGAAGACACTGAGGATTCTTCTGACAGTAAAAACATGAGCTCAGGTGAGGCTGGCCTGGGAAAAGGTCTCTGTAAGGAGCTGGTAAGGGACTCACTGCATAGCAACTACCCAACAGCACAATTCAGGAGACCTGAACTCTCCTCCAAAACCACATGAAGGTGGAAGGGGAGAGCCAATGCCACAGAGTTGCCTCTGACTTTCTCGCTTGCTCTGTTGGGTGGGACCCCGCACAGTCAATACTAGACAAGTCACTTACTTAGTAGTTTTCAAGAATCATAGAAATGGCCACCACACCGTTGAAGAAAAAGGACTACCCTTACAGGAATCAAAGCCATTCAATTAAAATAATAAAGATGGGCTGGCATGGAGCTCAGCTGGTGGAATGTTCGCCTTGAATGTTTTTGGGCACAGCATAAAAACAGAAATGGTGGCACACATCTCTAGTCTCAGAACTTGGAAGGTTGAGGCAGAAGGATCAGAAGTTCAAGGTCCTCCTTGTCTATCTGGTAAGTTCAACACAAGCTTGAGCTATAAGAGACCTTGTTCTTTAACAAATATATTAAAAATAGCTGGCCATGGTCCCAGAACTTGGAAGCCACAGGCAGTTTGATCTCTGTGGGTTCCAGGCCTAAAAAACAAGTTCTAGGACAGCCAATGCTGCACAGAAAGACCTTGTTTTTAATAACTAAATATACATCAAATATATAAAGACTATGTAGAAAATATTTTTTGTGTGTGCAAAGAAAACCTAACTGGAATTAGAGCAAGCTTCTATATATAGCCATCGATTTTATAGACAACATAGAGGCAGAGGAACACTTGAACAACACCCAAGGAATTCAATCAGCAAAATCCAAATAAGCAAAAATTTTCTCAACAACTAATTTCAAGAAAAAAAAAATGAAGGGAGGGGTGGAAAGAGACAGATTACATATTTAAAGAAACAGCAGACATGTCAACCAAATTCAATCAGCCATATAACCTTGCTCGGGTCAAACAAATTAAATGTTGAAACAAAACAAACAAATAAAAACCATGACACACCTAAGGTCACTTGAACACTAATGATTGTGTTATGACATAGAATTACTCTTATTATGGCATTGTAGTTTCTTATAGATGAAATTTAAGATGCTGGGTCCCGCACTCTAACTAAAGGGTGGAGAGCTGCTTTATCAGTCAAGAGTGCTTACTGTTCTTGCAGAGAACCTGAATTTATTTCCCAGCACCCACATGGTGGCTCACGGGCACTGTGACTCAGTTCCAGGGGCTCCAGGCTCTCTTCTGACTTCCATGGGTTGGAGCACAGATGAAATGCACATAATACCCTTAGACACACACACGTAAAACAAATATTTTAAAAGGAGAAACCAATGAAACTCAATGTGCCACACCCAAAAAGGAAACATGAAGGGAGAGGGGCATGTTCAGAAGAATGTTTCAGTGAGGGGAGGGGTGCGAAAAAGATAAAACTCATTGTATGTATGAAATTGTCAGGCAATAAAAACTTTAAAAATAAAGTGTTTGGGATTTCCTTTAAAATAATCCAGGGATGACAGCAGAAGTGGGATTATAAACTAAACAAGAAAGCTTCTGAATTAATGATTAATTATAATATCTACTTATGTTGTTATTTTGATTTTTTTGTTTTTTTGAGACAGGGTTTCTCTCTGTAGCCTTGGCTGTCCTGGACTCTCTTTACAGACCAGGCTGTGGAGATCACCTTGCCTCTGCCTCCTGAGTGCTGGAATTACAGGCGTGTACAGGCCGGTTTGAATTCTATTTTTGTATCAAAACATTTTCATCGTCAAAAGTCAAGGAAAGACTGTACCTCTAGTGTGCACAATGAAGGCGTTGGGATACTGTCTGAAGTCTGCGTTGGGAAACTACCTTGGCACATCTATACTCTTTTAATCTGTTGCACTGAGCGGCATAATCACAAAGGAAAGCATTGTTGCTCAAAGGCCTGGGAAACTGATTTGTAGCAGAGACAGGTCTTTCCTCTGGGAGACCAGGTGAGCCTTGGTCCCTGTCTAAGCAGCCTAAGCAGAGCTGAGAGGAGGATCTGAAAAAGGAGGAGGAGAAGGAGGAGGAGGGGGAGGAGAAGGAAAGGGAGGTCGCGCCTTTTTTGAGCTAGACAGAATGTCAGCCACTCCTTAACAGACGGGGAATCTGAGGCTAGAGAGAACTAGTGTTGCGCGTTCACTGGTGGGCGCGTTCTTTCTTACACACCCTGAAACCAGTCTATGAGAAGTAAAGCAATTCTCCCAATAAGGAATCCTTCAATGATCTGGGTTAGTCTCCCTTCTCTCTGTAGGTCCCCAAAAGCAACCAGATCATTAGTCTCCATGCCAGGAATTCCTGCCTGGCTGGAGCAAGGGAGCCAGAGGCCTGGGGTTTGGTGCTGGGTCTGCCTTGGCACCATCAGGCCGGAGCTAGGGTAAGCCATAGCTCTTGGACCCTTCTGAGAACCTGGAGGGTGCCTCTTCACCTCACTACAGGCAGGTGAGACGGTACCTTTATTCTGTCTGTCTCCCTAAGGGGGGGGGGGGCGTTGGCCCTGCCTGAGTCATTGACCCTTTCAGGCTCCCCTTGCAGGATGCCCTTTGCAGCCTTCCCCTGGATGCTCCGGCCCCAGGGAAGCCACACCCTGCAGCTGGACCTCCGCCCAGGCTGGCTGGCCTTCTCCAGCTCTCTACACATCCGGTTGCTGCATTCCTTTCCCCAAATCTTTCTTTCTCCCGTTTTTTCCCCACCATCCCTATTCGTTCCCTTCTTGTTTGTGCTTTTCTCAAACTCCCTTCTCTTGCTCTCCTCATCCACATGCGATTATCTCCAAAGCCTCCTTCGCTCCCAGTCTCTTTCCTTATTCAACTTCTTGATCTCTGCCCTTTTCTGTCCTTTGGTGTCTCTATTTCTTTCACCATCACCTTTCCCTCCCTCCACTTTTCCCCGTGTCCGATTCCTCTCTCATTCCTACCTCGCCGTCCGAGGATGTCCCTGGGTCCTTGGTCCCATTCGCCCGCCCCAGTGCGGAGCAGAGCGAGCCCGGCCAGCGCGCAGAGCAGCGGCTGCATGGTACCGAGCCACCGAGTGCAGTCTGTCCGGAGTCGCCTCCCCGGGATCGCAAAGTACGAGCCAAAATTTCTGGGCGGCTCCGGGCTTCTGGCTCCAGAGAACCTGCCCGCCCCCTCCAGAAGCCCCACCGTACCCTGGGAGAAGGCGCAGCCTGGGATCCCATCCTGAAGGCAACCTCTCCTCCAGGGCCTCCCGTCCAGCCTTCCACCCCACTCCCGCCCTGGGAGCCCCGCACAGAAGTGGGGGAGGAGGCTCCCAGCGCTGCTACTCCGTGTGAGCCCATTTCTCAGACAGCCAGAGGGAGCCCAGGAATGAGGACCTTCCTCTGGATCCCTCACGGGCAGGCATAGGGTCTGAACCCAGGGCTCATAGGATCTTGGAAGTGTTTTCTACCTACCTCTGAATCGCAAATGAAAGCTAATGATAATGATATCGGATAGCGGGAACTGAAGGTTTAATGCCTGCTGTCTACAGAAACTCACTGATAAATACCATTTAACTCCTTACCAAGGTGGGAGATGCTGCAAGCTGTCCGGACCCCTGCTCGGACCCCGGGTATCCACCTGTCTGCGAGGCTTCCAAGGCACCTGGCTTCTCCCGCCACAGTGAGCAAGAATCCAGCAGTGAGTGAACTCACGCAGGCGGAATAAACCAACGCAGAAGAGTTATTCTGCACCTTTATCAGTTACTTCCAAGCAGACTTTTAATCCCAGCACTTGGGAGGGAGAGGCGGGAGGATCTCTGAGAGTTTGAGGCCAGCCTGGTTTACAAAGCCAAGGACAGCCAGATAAACCTACACAGAGAAACCTTGTCTTACCACCCCCCTTCCCTTAAAAAAAAGGGAGAGCATAGCCAGAAGCAGAGACATCTGGGAGAGTGCAGAGTGGGCATGACCCTGAACCATGTGAGGACAGGAGGAAAAGGGAGGGGAATCAGGGGCAGCAGCCAAGAGGACAAAATGTAAACGAGGGCAAGGGAGCCAAAATGGCTGGGTTATATAGGGAAAAGGCACTGGAGAAAGGGCAGACCCTGGTCTGGGGAGTTGAGGGTAGAGGGCAGGATGTGCCAGCCATACCCTGGTAGGGGTGGGGGCTGGGGGATGCTGGGAGAACCTGGCAGCCAGGTCCTCTTTGATGCTAAATAGGCACCTCAGTTATTTGTCACAGGGTTTGAGACTTAACATTTGGTAGTCCCGAGGAGCTGTGAAAATGGAAATAATATTCGCACAGGTATCTGCCCTGTAAGGAGCTCACAGTCCCGTGCTCCACACTGGAGTTAAGCGTCTACCACATTATCTCTGAACCTCAGAGAACCTCCATAAGGGGCCCATCTTCATCGTAGCCATCCTGAAGACCCAACAGTTGAGAATCAGAGATGCTAAAGAAACTTGATGGCCTCACACTTGGATGGTGTGCAGTGAGGGTTTACATCTAGTCCTGCTGCTCTCTGCAACCAGATTTTCAGAGAACAATGCTATACACTGTGCTTAGTTCTGCTTCTAAGCCAAGCGAGCTGCTGGGGAAGGCTGGGATGGGGGTAGGAAGGGTGTGTGTCTTCAACCTAAGAGTGAGCTGTTTTTTGTTTTTGTTTTTCCAATGAACTTCAAACCATCTCAGACCTGTTGCAGTTTAGACACGCTGTCGTTTACTCGTGGAACACACCCATCCAACAAGTGCAAAAAACAATTAACAACAAAACCATAAAGCAGTACAGTGATTCCGATGAACCTGAGGGGCCCAAGTGCAGAGCTCCTGGCTGCAGGGTGGACAGCTTTGTGGCCAATCATGGAGAATGGTTTCATCAAGAGTCAACCAGGAGGCAGAGACAGGTGGGTCTCTGTGAGTTCAAGGCCAGCCTGGTTTACAGAGCAAGTTGCAGGAGAGCCAGGGCTGTTATACAGAGAAATACTGTCTCAAAAAACAAGAGCCAACCTGTCTGATCGTGTAGCAGAACAAACAAACAAACAAAAGAGTCACCCCGGGCTCAGTGGGGTGTCTGAGGGTCATGGCTGTTAAGTTATGTTTGTTTCTCCAGGTGGATGTATATGAATGAGTACAGATGCCCACAGAGGCCGAAAGGGGCCGTTGAATACCCCGGAGCAGGAGTTACAGGCAGTTGTGAGCCCTTGATGTGGGCGCTAGGAACTGATCCCAGGTGCCCTGCAAGCGCAGAGAGAGCTCTAACCACTACCCACCGCTCCAGTCTCTGCAGCGCCACCTGCTGATCGGCCTGTGTGTTACACAGGAACAACCGGCAGCCCTCCCTTCCCTTGGCTCCCCTTCCGCATAGACAGTGGGCTGTGGCACAGAAATTCAGACTAGGACTTATCAGGTTTGCCACCAAGACGTGGATCTCATTCTTGAAAAGCTCCCTTGAGGATTAAGACGCCCAGATGAGCTGGTTTAGGAGAAAGGATTTATCTCAACAATGCCAAGAACTGTCCACGCTTCGTAGGGCATTCCGATCTAGCTTAGCCAGGCGTGAGATTGTAAAACAAAACAAAAGCTAGGCCCACAAGGATTTATGCAGCTTAGAGCCACTGAGCTAGCTAATTATTTGAATAAAAAAATGAACAAAACATAAAACCTGGCCGGTGGCTCGTATCTGTAATCTAGAACTCAGAAGGCTTAGGTAAGAGGATAATAGGTCAAGGGCAGACTGAATTACAAAGTGTAATCCTGACTGTAAATAAAGAAATAATAAATACATGAGTAACATGTGCAGGAGATGCCGTTAAATCACAAAGTACGGGCCCACGAGCAGTGGGGAAAGAAGCCTGCTGACCTGGGTTTGCACCACATTGGAGAAGACTCTGGCCCTCTTAAACACCAACTAGTAGGTACACACTCATGACTGAAAGTAATTAAACTAAAAAATAATTAATCCTGTGAGTATGGTGGCACACACCCTTAATCCCAGTACTCAGGAGGCAGAGGCAGGTAGATTTCTGTGAATTTGATGTGAGCCTTATCTACACAAGTTCCTAGCCAGCCAGGGCTCCACAATGAGACCCAGTCTCAAAAACAAAACAAAACAAAAAACCTAGCTAAAAACACCAAAGCAGGGGCTGGAGAAATGGCTCAGAGGTTAAGAGCACTGGCTGCTCTTCCAAAGGTCCTCAGTTCAATTCCCTGCAACCACACAGTGGCTCACAACCATTTTTAATGAGATCTGGTGCCCTCTTTTGGTCTGCAGGTATACATGCAGGCAGAATATTGTATACATAATAAATAAATAAATCTTAAACAAACAAACCAAAGTAATGAAGCTGTTTCCATCTTAGTCCAGCTTGCTCAGCCCAGTCCCTTCAGTTTGCCAGCCTCTCCCTATCTTTGTCCACAAATTTTGTATCTATTCAATAGATACCTATTCAGACATATCTAAAAATGATAGATATTTTCTTTTCACATTCATATCTACTTCAGTTGCATCATTAGATCTTGGAAGGCCATTAAAAACTGGAAAGAGTCCATAGAAGTGAGTACAAGGGTATCCGTTTAATTCCTCTTACGAGCAGCGAAAGGAGAGATGGAGTGGTGGTTAAGCACACGGGGTGCTCTTCCAGAGGACCTGGATTCCCGGTACACACGGCAGCTCACAACAGTCTGCGATTCCAATTCCACGGGTGCCCTCTTCTGGCTTCCAGGGGTACTGTGCGCGTGTGCATAGGCATACATGCAGGCAAAATACTGCTGCACAGAAAATAAAACTAAAATAACTAAATAAATAAATTTTAAAAAGAGAGAGCTGCAAAAGATCCCCGGAATGGGTGTGTCACAGTTTATCTGGAGTGTCCCTTACGAATAGACATTAGTCATTGCTTTTCCACGCTAGGAAATACTATGTTAAAATATATTTTTATTTTTATGTGTGAGCATGTGTCCTGTGTGTGTATGCTGCGAGGTTAATAGCTGACGTCCAAAGAGGGAGTTGCATTCTCCACCTCACCAAGCTGGGGTTACGATCAGTTGTGAGCCACCTCTCGTGGGTGTACGGAATAGAACTCAGGTCCTCTGGAAGAACAGTGGGTGTTTGTATCCGCCAAGCCACCTCTCTAGCCGAGGAGAGTTTTAATTAATATCAAATTTCTAGTGCCAGAGGCTGAGGGGTGCCAATCTGCCAGGAGCCAAAGCTATCTACTGAAGCAAAAGTCAATTAGTGAGCCAAAGCTATCTAGTGGAGACAAAGGTAGTTACTGAAGCCAAAGCCAAGTAGAGAGCAAAGGTCATTTAGTGGAGACCTAAAGCTATGTAGTGAAAGAGTTATCTAGACCCTAAATCATGGGTGATGGATTGTGAGGACATCCATTTGTTAGAGCATCCGTAAGGTATCTTAAGAGAATATCCTTATGGTATCTTGCAGGTACAATAGTTAACCCATGAAAGCACTCTTCCTGTCTCCTGCAGCAGTAGATTAACCTTCCCCCTTTCCTACCTTCTCCCTATATAAGTTGGGTAAAAATTTCTAATAAACGAGGCTTTGATCAGATGAACAGACTTGGGCTTCATTTCTACGTCTCTCGTCCCTTCTCCCCCATTCCTTCCAATCTCCCCCTTAGGAACCCAGTTGAAGTCCCGAGGGTCGGGACACCAATCAAATTTTAATTTCTCAGAGACACCACGGTACCGGGTCAGTTACGAATAGGGTCTTTTTCCGCCCTCCACTAGAGGGCGCGCTTTACAGCAGTTTTATAGTCATTTGCTTCTGGTGGTTGGCTTTGTTTGAGCCCTGAAGTCCATACATTTTCCTTCTTATCCACTTCTTCTATTGGAGCCTTACAAAACAGAGGTGGTGATGGCCCTAGAGAGCAGGGAAGCCTCGACCCTCCATATCCCACCCGTGGGCATCATTATGTACATATTTCATAGGCATGTTATATCTGAACAGAGATATTTTTTTTAATTTACTTAATTTTATTTTATGGACATTTGTTTGAGGGTGTCAGACACTTGGAACTAGAGTTACAGAGAGTTGTGAGCTGCTGTATGGGTGCTGGGAATTGAACCCTCGTCGAATGGAAGAGGAGGCAGTGCTCTTAACCACTGAGCCATCTCTCCAGCCCCCAGAGATGTTTTTTTGTCATTTGTTTGTTTGTTTGTTTGTTTGTTTTGAGCCAGGCTATTTCTTCATAGCCCAGACTGGCCTGGAACTCTCTGTGTAGACCAGGAATTCACTATGTAG